GAAACTAATATTTTTAAAAATATTATTTATAAAGTTAAAAACAAAGGATAAGTTAAATTTAAAAAAAAGTACCAATTTGCTCAAATATAAAATATGACTTTGTAAAATCAATACAATTTGCTAAAACTCATAATTATGACTATTAATTAATTTTCAATCAATTTGCTCTTTCTAAAATTATGAGTTTAACCTAATTTTGATTGAATTTGCTAAAACTCAAATGTGAGTTATATATGTGATGTTCGGGGTCCTTTCATTTTGATATCACATCAATATTAAATTAATATTGAAATGATATCAAAATAATATTAAAATAATACCGTTAAGATAAACTTAATAATATTAATTCTATATTGATTAAAAATGTTTGTATGCATAATGACGCTATCATATATTTCTCTCAAATGAAAGTATAAATTAGAAATCATTTAGTTTATTATTATAAGAGTTAATAATCATATGAATAACACCTGTATAGATTTATATTTACATTAGCAAAATACATACATTTTAAAAATCAATCAAAACATTTTTTATTGCAAAGTAATACAGTTAACTCTTGTTATAACGAACCTTAGGTTTCAGATCCCAACTTCGCTATAAGGCTATAGTGAAAATATTAAGAGATTTGATTGGTTAATTTATTATAGTAAGGGGAAATTTATTATAGTTATCTGAAAAATTCACTATATCAAGAGTTTGCTATATCAAAGTTTGACTGTATATGAGAAAAGGCCAGTCAGCTAAGAAAAAAATAAAACTAATAAAAGACATTGAAGTAGATCTTATTTAAAAGAAGAAATTACGTTAGTCCCTAGATCATAATATGGCAGTTCCTTTTTACTATTCCGCATTATTATTTACATTACTTACATTACACTATTAGTAAATTTTTTATTTTTTATTCATCTCATAATTGATACCATTGTGCTAAATTTTGGATTCCCTTTATTATAATAAAAACTTTCTACAGTACTCTTTTCAATCTTTTCCCTAATAAGATATTAAATTTCACGTTTTACAATTTCAAATGCATAGTTATTAGTCTCTTCCACTTCCTTTCTTAAGTCAAAAACTCTTTTAAAATAGTTACTATTTTGAATTGGATAAACTGGATAATGGAGTAGAATTACGTGACTGATTCAAAGCTTCATTTTCTTCAAAAGGTGAATTGAATGAACCAGATGAAGAACTGGTAGAATTACCGCTTTCACATGATTGATTCGAAGCTTTAGATTCATTGAATACACTATATTAATCAGAATTAAGAAAAATAGGACTTTGAGCATCTGTGTAATATTAATTTATTTTGTTTTAGAGATTGTTTATACTAGCATCAATTAATACAAATCTGAACATAATGGATTTCTCTAGGGATTTAATTCTGCTAAAATCATTTGACAAGCTTCTTTAATGTTATTAAATCTTGAAAAATTTTCTGTGCTTTTGTGATATAGCCAACATCACGTACCTTAAAATTTTTGATTTCTGTAGTATTAAGTTCAGTATTAATTTTACTAAGCTTTACAGTTAAAGAGAATTGCAAAAAGTTTATTAGTGATTTTAGTATTAATTTCTGTAGTAAGTTTACTGAAAATGTTTTGATCTTTAATGTATTATTTTTTGTATTAAAATCATTGACGATTCTAATGACATGTGCAGAAAATTTATCAGAAATTTTTTATTTAAGATTTGACCATATAACACTAGCCTAATGAATAAAAAAACAGCGATTAAGGTTAAAAAAAGCATGATTTCTGAAGAGTTGAGCAATAACAAACTGGACAT